AATAGTAAAAAGGCTATAGATTATGATCTTAAATTATATTATCATTCTCATTCCTAATACAAATTATTAAAGAATATAAAGATGATTTATTTTATTCCATTATGTTTATAATATTTGCTCTTACATTTTATTCTTGCATTTATACCAACATACATATTAAAAATCATTTTAATATTAAATGCTTTAAATGCATTGTACAATATTTTCTTGTATTTGTATATTTAGTTATCTATACAATATAATTAAATAAAAAAAGTGTCGCATAAAGTTATATTATTACAATGAGTAAAATTAATTTACGTTTAACTCCGCACATTTATGCGTTCAGAAACAATTGCCAAAGAGAAGCGTTTACAAAAGAAATTACAAATGTGATAAGCACAAATGTAATAGCTAAATCGACAGTAGCTCGCATTTTTATAGATATTTTTCTGACGTGAAAGAGCACGAGGAATCGATTTATATATTAAAATAAATTTTAGTCGTTGAAATAAAACCATATAATGTTATATGAAATATTGTATCATCATTCTTGTCGGTTTATAAAAAAATGTTAAAAAATATTTATATTATGAAAAAAATAATTGTATAAATTATTAAAGTTTAGTCATTAAAATAATACTATATAATTTTATGCAATATATTTTTACATTCGCAATATATTCATTCTTGAAAGATGTTAAAAAACGTCGTGCAAAAGATGTTAAAATAGCATTCATATTATGAAAAAAATCAGTCATATAAAATATAATCTAAGATATTCATTTTTACTTAGTCAGCCTTTAAAATCATTCGTTGTTCTGTCAAACTTACAACAGCTATAGCCAAGTAGTCGTAAAAAGTTACTATCTCTATCAGGCTGCAAGATTATTTTACATATAATTTATATCTGTGTTAATTTCGTCAGATGGTAGAAGCTTCGAGCTAGTTATTTATCTGATCCGAGGTGGATTCGAAATAGTGCTGCAACGTATCCTGTATGTACACACCGAATGCCTTAGGTCTAGACTGTCGTGGATCTATTAACAACTGCCACTTGTACGATACATCCCCATCCGGTTGCTTCTGAATGGTGATTCGTACCCTCCTCACTACGCCAAATTTTCCGAAGCTCATTTGCAAAAGTCGTTTTACTGCGATAGAATTTCTCACATCCTTCGGTGTCGGGAAAGCATCTGTAGCGATACATAGCGCTGACCAGCTAGCCTTGTATACATCCATCGATATTGTAACCTCTTCGCAAATTAGCCCCTCCGGCAAGTGTTCCCGGATACATGAGAGCGCCGAGCTAAGATTTTCAATCTCCACCTCTGGTACTTTCATTATTCTGTTGAAAATTATTCCTACCACCAAATAATTATTAATATGAATCATTACATTTCTATACGCTCGATCTTCGGCGAGAAATAGCTGATATTTAAACTATTAGAACTTCGTAATAAGAAAACATAAAACGATCATTCTGGGCTCATTTTAAAACGTGAGGCCTATACGTTCAGGATCTTATCTTCTTCTACAGAGATACCTGTATCATGTAGCGAAGATGCTTTATCGTTTTGAACATTTTTCAAATTCGACCGATTCTAGAGATATCAACAAATTTTTTGGATGCCTAAAGTTACCACAAATTTGAAGATTAAAGACTTCCTTCATAATGACACCTGTAGAGTTGATGTACGATATTCTGTCATCGTTTTATTAAACTTTGAATGAAAAGTGTCTCGCCGACACTAGAATAATCCCAAGGTGATATTTCAAGTGGAGGTCGCAAGGTCGAATTTGCACCTCGCACTCTTCTACAAAGTGCAAAAACCTCTGTAGGAAAACGTAACCAAGGATTTTGACGGCTTCACAATTGAGCCCGTAATCGTAATAACAGTTTAAATATCACCAATTTTTTGATAAAAATTTAATGTTCCTTTAATTTTGCACATCAATGCATTTTAAATTTTAAATAAAGTAAAAGAACAAAGTTCGATAGACCGATGAATATTTTGGAAACCAATTAAACAATCACCAACTAAGTACTTACTATCGTCCTGTTCTTTTGGGCTGCCGTAATAGTACTAATTGCTTTAGAACATCATGAATCTAACCTTTATACAAGTTCTAAATACGTTCGAATTCTAACACATTGCTTGTATATTATGAAAACAATTTTTGTGTCCTGCTCCTACAGTATTCTTCTAGAATTCGAATATTTATATCAGTGTTGGACAAAAACAACGGCAAAGTTATAGCAAAAAATTCGACAAAAATATAATTCCAATAACGGATAATAGATCACGAATTTTATAAATACGAATAAGTTATTAGAGTCGTTATTCACAAATAGAAAATAAATTAATTAGTAGGCTGCAAATTTGTATGCATTTATGGGAAACCCGAAGATACAAAAATACGAATTTGCATAAATACATATCCGTAGTATATTAATTAATCATTGTCTGATTTGTGTACGATTTCGAGGACTATTTTTTTACGCATCATATTCTTCTAATGCAAATCCCAAATATTGAGCCGAAAACATCCGTTGGTACCCAAAAAATTCGTTCACAAAAACTTTTCAGGAAAGTGCCGTTTCAAGGGAGGATTGATTGACGGAGGAGGTTCACATGACATCGTTTTAAGAACGAATTTCTCGGGCCACCTGATTGTGTTTATATTATATACGATCGATTAATTGAATATAGTTTTGTTACTTTCTTGAACCAGTAATCTTTCTGTTGTTATTTCTATACTCAGAAGTAGGATCACAATAGTTATTATTTTATTGAATGGATAAATCTATCACACCGTTCTGAGCCAAAAGAACCTTTATTGCACACTCTTACAAAAACTAGGGATAAAAACAAAAAAGCATCTTAAGTCTATCGATTAAATCTATCGATTGTAACTAGGACTATTTCCTAGTTACTATTTCTTATAACTAACGCAGCTGCATATGGATGGCGAGCACGAACTCACGTTGTAATTTTCAAAACTTTCAGTCAATCATATTACAATGAATTTGAAAGTCGAGATTCACTTCGGTTCATTACGTGTCGCGCTATTTTTACTCTATTCAGCTCTAATAGGATTTAGCATATAGAAGTTCCAAATTCCTATCTTTCCTTTTGTAAATTTTAATTAAAATATAAATTTTAATAAATCCAAATTTTACACAATTTATAAAATTAATTTTTTAAAATCGTTGTTAAGTAATTGAAAAAGGTATTTATTTATTTTTTTAACTCTCATTTGTAAAATAATTTTCTTCCAAATATTCGAACGAAACATGAACTGGACGAAATGTTATCAAAGTAAATATTATTGTAACTTTCAGTTATGTGTATATCATACATACATAATTTTTTTAATATATATGTATATGATATACATTTATCTGAAAGTGGTATCTTAAAATGATGGATGAATTATTTTATTTTTGTTATGACTTATATAGAAAATAGCAAAGCAGGAAATATAGAAACCACGGATGGCAATATAGTAGAAAGTGGAAGAGATCAACATACAAATGGAGGAACCACTGAAGATTAATAACCGATCAAAAAGTATTTCGCACAGTGATTAAAAAAAATACGTGTCAAACATTTATTAAATATAATTGAATTATAACTTTTTCCAAAACAAAAAGAGTTTTGAATACTTTGCACAATTTATAATCATTAGTTTATAAGCAATAATAGAAGTTTAAAGACAAACAATATATTTACAATCTTTGATAATACAATTAAATAAATTAAAATATATATATTTTAAGCAAATAGTAAAAAATTATTTCTTTGATTGCTTAAGTACAAATTTATTCTACTTATATAGACCATTATATATCAAGCTTTCATGACTTAACACATTTGTTCATTACTTCATACTGTTATCATATGATTTTTTATTAAAATGAATGTAAATAAATAAAATGGATGTTTTTTAATATTGTATTTTATATTTATTCTATAAACAGAAATACAATTAAAATTTTGTCACAGTTCACTGAATGTACTCAAGTAATTATCCGAAATGAGCCATTTTTCTATAATAATTATCATATAATTGAGGACCTGTATATAATACTATTGTAAATTTTTCATGGAGAATACGAAAATTGTCAATTAAGACCATATACTTAAAACAATCACAATTTGTATTTTGTTATCTCCAATTAGTATATCACACAATCACAACTTAAATACATTAATTATACATAAATTTATTTCAATCATATCAAAATTATTGCTCAATCTCAAAAGAAGCGTTTTTTAAATTTTGTTTCTATTAAAATTCTTTTGGTAGTACATTATAAATTTACATTTTATTTAATTATTTTACTGTATTGTCATTGTAAAATGTGTTTCTTTTGTGTTTCTTAAAATACAGAATTAATTTGAATTTATATTATACTATATATTAACATTATTTATATTATTTCTAGTCCTTAATATTTTTGGGTATTCTTGGTTATATACATATACAATATGATATATTAAGCAAACGATGGACAGACAAAGACATCACTCGCCGCCGTTGTTAGCTTTAAAAATTCCATTTTCATATAAATATATCATTACATTTTTATTGCAATGTATTACATTTCATTGTTTTTCCATGTTTTATACGTGTAGATTCGTTAGTTTATAAACAAATATGAAGAGAAATAAAATATTACATTAATAACTAAACAGATAAATACTCTCCTTTTATTATTATAAAGTTTTAAAGATTAAACACATTTTACACAGTACATAAATTACACAGATTTTGTATTGTATGTTCAATTGTTACATACAAGTAATTTATATTTATTAATATTTTCTACTGTATCAGTACAAAGCTAGTGTTGATGTAGTTGATTATCAGATTTGACAATAATACTTTGTACTTGTTCTATAAAATGAAATAGTCAGATTTGTTATGTTAGCTAATAAGATGGGTTAAATATTAATAATTATGTTCCCTATTAGTAAACTGTTTATAAAATGTTATAACAAATATAATACCAACATGTATAAATATTTATATGATATGATAAATACATATAAATGATCACTTTAAACTGCAATCAAAATTCGTAACTGCGTCTGTAAATTGTAAATTATTGCATGTTTAACAAAATGCAAGACTTGACTAGGAAACATTAAGTAACGACTAGACGTTTAATATACATATAAATATACATTTAACAATTTTTTTTAATGTCTTGACTGTATGCTATTATAGATTGGTTCTATTATCTGGCAACTATATAAAGAACAATAGAACCTCGTTATGCGAACAAGTTAATGCTGAGTCCCTATTAATCGAACTACGCCAAATTGTACATGTACAAATACATGTTCTTATAGCGAATATATTAATATATGTGATCACTTGCATTTATACAAAATATGTCAAAGAAGAAACAGTTGAAATCTTAACGGTTAAATCTTAATATTCGAATTATGTATGTGTATACAAAGGTATAATGAACTATTATCGAAACTACTCTGTTATTTGAACCGCCTTATCCTCCGACCTGCCTGTATAAACGAGGTTCTAGTGTATATTATAATTCTATTAATTTATAACTAAACGTAATTGATTTATAATATACATGCACTAAAAAAGAAATCACGTATTCTTAAGCTGCACGAGAATTAAAAGCTTTAATAAATAATGTAAGAAAACGTGAAATTTGAACGCTAGGAGCAGACACCACATGCCTTATTACCTTTGGCTCTAACAAGAGAAAGCGAAGACACTTGGGGGTACGATAAATTAACTCTTACTAGCGAGCACCAATATTTTTGTAATTTCAACGAATAAGTTACTCTTTTATTCTTCACGCAATCAGCGTGGACGAATATCAAAGAGTATTCTACTCGCATTTTTACTTTTTAAATAAACTTTGGCGATTTGCATAAACTCTGTATTATATTCTTTTTTCTCATCAAAATAGAATCTATTAATTATATGTTGGATCATTTTTGTTAATGGCAGAGTCGTAGTATACTATGAAATGTGTCCATATAAAACACACTGATAAAATTATTTGGTGAATAGGAATGATTTTCTACAGAATAATGGAGCTCTATATAACAGACATGGAGATACAAAATCTATCTGAGATCTTGCATCAGTATTGATGATGATGCCACAGTATATAGAGAAAGAGAAACTAGCCTCTATGTGATATTCATTGGTAATCATTTAGTTAGGATAGGAATAATTTTCCACAAGATAATGGTGCTCTACATGCCAAGTATGAAGGTAGAGAACTTTAATTCGGCAACAAAATATATTAAAAATATTTTCTGGATGGCATAAGTGTGGCAAATGTGAAAAAATTACAATTATGATGGAGAATTACCTATATGATCATTAAGGTATTCTATAATAATAGAGTACCTTAACAGAATGATGACTGTAAGCATGTGAAACGGATTTTTCAAATCAGCTTTGAAAGATATGGCACTGTAAGGAAAATACAAAAAATCATCCTCAATGAAAGTAACGGAGTTATGTTTAAGTAGTAGTTGTCAATAATTCCACATGTGTTGACACATCCTACTATGCCGGAAGATAACAGAAAACAAAACAATCCTAAGTTCTCTTATGAATACATAAAATATTCATTACCTAGACGTATATCAACCCGAGATTTTGCGCAATTATTATTTCTATAGTTGGATGCATTGCCAATTGGACATTCCATCACAACAGACAGATAGTGAAAGTAGTGCTCCTAGCGTCCATACCATCATAAAACCAGCAGAGAAGAATCGAGAGCATATGACTAAATCTCTTTTACCGAAGACGAAAGAACGCTCCCCACAGCGTGGATTTACTACTCGAAGTTTCTAGAACTCAAACTTAGAGGAAAAGTATTAGTAGTCTATGAACATAAAATTTTGTTGACCTACTATGTAATCAAATACATTACTAGTATTATCTCGTCAATTCTTAAAAATAAAAATATATTTGTGTAAATACTCTTTTTGATTGGAAAATATCGTTTTAAAAATTGTTCACTTTGTGCGATTTCATCAAATAACATTTGTAAACTTTACAAATCATTATAACTTTCGTATACTTTGTAATAATTTAATTCGATATAAAACCATTCCTAATTTTCATTTTTTTCTATAGATAATTAAATTGGTATAAATAAATTTTAGTTTAACTTTATACGACTAATTGTCATAATATAACAATTATTTAGCATTACAAAATTTTCTATTCATCTCACATATACTATATATTCTGCATTTACAAATTTTCATTTAATATTTCATGTAGTATGAAATATCAAATTCTTTGGTCATATAAAATAGTAGTTATAAAACAATAATCAAAATTTTAACTGGAAAGAAAATATTAAATAAAAACTGCAATTATATTAATTTAAAAAAACAAAAGTAAGATACTCCAAATATAATTAGGCCTTAAATTACGGTTATTAGTTATTGTTCCTGATAAGATAATATATTGTAAATAATATTAATAGCCTTTTTTAATAAATAATAATGAAGAAACTAGCGACCTTGGGAACAGAGTTATGGACATCTTGTTACTGTTATATTGAAACTTTTTTAAGAGATCACATTCTTGTTGCTTGTATTATCTCATGTTTGACTTTTTTTATATAAGTTTTTACATAACTTCTCAATGTAATAGAAGCTATTAGTGTAAAGTTTATAATAAAAATAATGAACTGCAGTCTATATTTCATGTTTCCATTACTACATTTAAAATATAATGGGGTTAAAGATGAGGCAGTGAGATATTAGTGAATTAATCCCTAAATTGAAGGACTGTTATAAAATATAAAAGAAGCATAAAAAATTTTGTTCGTTGTGTAATCTGTAGAATTCCAAACTGTTTATGTTGCCATAATTTGTTAATTTAAAACAAACGCTATCAAAAAGATATCTATGCAAATACGTCGATTAAGGGGAATAATGATGACTATTGACATGTCTTTGCTTCCTTCTAAATATAAAGGCAAGAATTGAACGCAGCCGCCACCAACGACTGTGTTTACGTACCGAATTTCTTGATCTTTCTTTAGCTCGAATTTGTCTGACTAATGAATAAAATGCATCATCTATAAACTGTCTAAGAGCTGCAGATGTTTCATAAAAAGGGCAACCAAGCTGCTCAGCAAGTGCCTTTCCTTCTTCTGTAGTTACCTATAATATGTTTCTCGTGTTAACAAAATCAGTGAAACTCAGTTAGAATGAAAAATTGTGTTTTACCTTTCGCTGATGTTGCAAGTCAAATTTGTTACCAACTAATACCAATGGGATATCTTCATTAGCTCTCACACGTGTTATCAATTTTCGATATTCCAAAGCTTCCTGAAAGCTATGTCTATCAGTTACAGAGTAACATATCATAAAACCCTCTCCACATCTCATATACTGGTCACGCATAGCTGTAAACTCCACCTACACATAAAAAAAAATATTACATATAACATTTATGTATATATAAAATTACAATACGACAATACAATTCACTTTCTTATGAAACCATGTTAAGAACAAATTCTGACCTGGCCTGCAGTGTCCAATATATCTAAAAGTGCAGCTTCACCATCTATAACTGCTTGTTGCTGATATGAATCCTCTGTCAAGAAGAAAGAACATTAAATGAAATATTCTTTCAAAAGTTAAGAAATAATAAGAACAAAATTTTACAGACATTTTTCGGAGTTTTCAATTTTCATTACAACATACATGAAATAAACTCTTACCTATAGTTGGATCATGATAATCAAGAAAGCTATGACTGACAAATTGCAATGTGACAGCTGAAAAATTAATTTCCATAATATATATGAGATATAACATGTTTTTTTAATCAAACGATGACAAATAAAACTGGATTATACCTGATTTACCAACACCACCATCGCCCAAAACAACAATCTTGTAAACTCTAAGTCCACCCCTGGTAATGGGTTGCGAGACTACCGGTACGTCATTCTTGCCGTTCAAGGCTACGCTCTTATCCTGCAGGATGTCAGCTGACATCGTTAGGAAATATACTGTTTGTTGGTAACCTAATGTTTGGTACAGCTACAAGCTTGCACTTTTACAAACTGACTGACATACTTAATCACGTATCGGAACACGCGCGTAGACACACCCGTATCGGTTATTAGATCGGGAAAGATACGGTACATGTTTGATCGCGATTGCAAGCCACCGTTTTTTATCTACTAGTTTGGACCTGCACCAAGTGACACTTAATGGCTAAAAGTTATTTTTTACAGTTAGACACAGCATGGCTGATGAGCATAGGCTGACAACCGGGCTTGACAGAATGTGACAGTCGCAAAGATTAAGCACGCGCGGATTCGTGCACCCAGGGGCGTATCCACTTGCTCTATTGTTAGTATAATAGATCCATTTATATATCTACAGGGTGTCTTAAGTTTTAACGACGAAACTTACAGTACGAAACTTACTTATCAGCCTAAGAAAAAAAAAGTTATATAAATATAGGTCGTTTAGCACTTTATTAAAAAGTTATGAGAAAAATATGAAATGCGAAGTAATGGATTTGCGGTTACTACAATGAAATGTAGGAATAGATCACCAATACTTACGTTTATTCTATTTACGCGAGCTGTGCTTGCTATCTCAGGCCGTCCAAGGTAGTATAATACTTTTAGCACTTCTAAAAGTAACTAATATTTCATCTCAAAATGCAGATAAAAATCCAATGGCATGAGATCAGGCGATCTTGGAAGCCAAGGTATTGGCCCTCTTCGACCTATCAATCTGTGAGGAAAATAATTGTTTAATTCACAAATATTATGTATTTCATAATGTACCGGACAGCTGTCCAGTTGCATCCACATGTTTTGAATTCTTGTATTAGGGAACCCGTTTTGATATTCTCTCACAGCAGTTCAGGTATTTCCATTGCAGAAACAAACGAAATGTATATCTGCATACTCTCGATTTGTAAATGATTGCGGCTTTTTCGTACGAAGTCCACTAACTTACTAACGATTCAATGGTACTAGCAGAAATTATCATGAAATTACCTTCAGAAATTGTTGACGACTTCGACACAACACGCAAAAATAGACTAACAATAAATGTAAATATTCGTGTTTGATGTTTCTTTTATAACTTCTTAGTAAAATTTTGAACTATTTATGTTCTTATAACATTCTTTTCTTATTTACACAAGTTTCGCCGTTAAAATCTGGGATACGTTGTAATATATATATATATGTATATATTTTAATTTAATTTCAATTTTAATTTAATTTAAAAACATTCTTGTAACTAACTTTACTGTTAATTTTTTGGCAAAGAAGAATAGAAGTTTCGCTTATTGAAATATCTTCGATTTCCAATGAAGTTTGATCGAAATATTAAAGTTAAAACAAGAGGTAGAATAAATACTTGCATATCTTGTATTTAATGTCAATATTGTGGTCTAACTTTTTATAATAACTTATAATAATAAATTACAATTGAAATGCAGATAACTTATGCAATTGTACAAATAAATTAGAAAATAAATGCAAGGGTAAACTATTATTATTTAAGTACATAGTATTCTTTAGTAAACGGACTTTTTTAAATTATGGATTTGTTACTGTAAAATGAAATTCTATAATCTACATATGTATTCAACTATATTTATATTACAATCACGTTACAAATCATAAATTTTTGATCAATATGAAATATACCGGTGCAATATGCATGCGTAGAATAGTGCACGCACATCGATAAAGATTTCCTCTTTGTATAATAGAAATTTATTGATTCATATAAAGAAACATATATATATATATATATTTATTATGTATGCATTAACGAAATTCATTCGTATAATGCCCTATACAATAATACACTTGACAATTAAAACTTTTACTTATTATTTTCTTATGATAGTTTTAATATCTTTATTGTTAGAGGTAAATTAATATATTCTTTCTAATATATATATATAAAATTTATTATTCATTAAAATAAAAATTCTATGATATGAAAATTGAATGTTTATGTGTATGTTATGTACAATATAAACGAGAACGATAGGAAAATAGTTTTTAACATTTTTAGTATTCTTCGTATATATTCGTAAGGAACTGAAATGAATGAAATATAATGCGGTTGAAAACGAAAAATAAAACAATTATGTTTGTTTCTTGTAGTTTCATCTTTAAACATTTTAGAAAGTATAAATATTGTAAAAAGCAAATTTGGTATCTATTGAGATTTGTATATAGATATATACATACATCAGTTTATAATTCGAGTTAACAAAGGGTCAGTACTGCTATGGTTGAATATTACTATTAGGGACATAAGGTATAAGCAAATCTCTCATGACTAAAGTGCGAGGTAGAATTGTACTGATTGCAATCTGTTTGTAAGCAATATATCTTTGATTTGATGTTATCTGACAAGATTGACGCGCTCAGATAAATCAAATTTCTGAAAATACATGTTTGATTTGGGAGGTTATGAAACTATTGTTATAGATACTGAGCATTATGAAGACTTTCTCCAATAAAGCGAAACCAAACGTTAAATACGTACATACGGAGATACTTTCATCGAAGAAAAGTACTGGTGTAAACGTTATTCATGAACATTTTCATTGCCATACCATCATTTTCGAAATCAAATTAACATGTTTGGCAGAATATTATTATTACAAGATGGAAAACACGTGGGCATTTTAACAATTGTGTGTAAATAGTAAAGAATAATGAAATAAGTGTATATGTAATGACCCTCGTGTTTTTGATACCTGAGTTTTTTCATTGTTCAATTAACATTCTTCCCTGACATTTTGATCCTTGTTCTCAATGATAGTAAACAAAGTGCATAAGTGTATTAAATGTTTTTAAATATCATTAAACAGGGTAAAAATATATGTATATATATATGCTGAAGTTAAAAGTAATTATGAGATTATTAAAATAGAAAGAAAAACTATCTAGGAAACAATTTTAATCCAAAAGCACGGAATAATGTGTACCTTAAATAAAGTTGTAAGTTCTTTATTGATGAACATATAAGCTAACATATTGTATAATATAATATATAGCATAAAAGTATAAAATATAATATTTTAATATGTTTTCAGATATCCAAATTCCTTTATAGGAAATATAACACACACATATTAAGTTGTAAATTAAACAGAAGTTTTTAAATTTGTCACTTAATAAGATATCAAGGTGACATGTTCCCTAATATATGCATGTGGTTATGTTAACCAAATTCTTATAAGATGTCAGTTGCCTCTTGTTCAAGAACTAGGAGAATGGATACTATAAGTAGTCAAGAAGAAATGATATATGAAAAATGGGAACGTTTTCATAATTGGGTACATTGCATGTGTATTGTTACTTTTGATCTTGAATTAGGTCAAGCTATAGAGGTACCCTTTTATTACATTTTATATTTAATTTTTAATACAATTATTTATTTATAAACTGTTTTTCTTTTATACAGGCTATATATCCATCTCATATCAAACTATCTGAACAAGAGAGATCTAATGTTTGTTATCTTGCTTTTCCCGATTCTAACTCTGGTTGTATGGGAGATACACAATATCATGTCAGAATAAGACAGAGTGGAGCTATCCTTCAAGAGACTAAAGCCTTAAAAGAATACGATAGAAAGTCACCTCCATTTTTACAATGTGATAAAGATTATTATTGGGGTTATGTATACTTTCGTCAAGTGAAAGATAAGTCTCTTCCAAGAGGATATTTCCAAAAGGTTTATTTTATATACTAAAATAATAAAGATGTAAATACAGGATCTTGAAGCATAAATAATAACTTTATTTATATGCTAGAGTATTGTTATAATTACAAAACTGCCATTTGTGAATCTCTTTGGTGAATTGTGTGCTTTAATTGCACCTGAATTTTTTGAAATGGGCAATGCAGTGATGGAAGCTATTGTAAGAGAAATTGATCAATGGCCTCCTCCAATACCAGGCCAAGTAGTGCATTTACCACTTATAGGTGTTTTATTTCAGGTAAAAGTTGATACATCGTAATTCGTATTTCCACCATATGTTATTTTTCATTCTTCATATTTTAGACATATATTCCAAATCAAAACTATAAAGCAACTGCACCTACAATTGCTGCCATGGATCATGCGCCAAATTTTCATGCAACTCGAAGACTAATTTTAACATCTGCCAATGAAGGAGATATGTTTAGAAGTTTAGCTAGTGTTGTAAGTTATGTACATTTATTATGGGAATTAGTATTACTTAGTGAACCAATTGTTGTTATGGCTGGTTCACCTACTGGTTGCTCTGAAATGGTCCAAGCACTTATTGCGTGAGTATTTTATTATATTTCTTAAATAGTTAAAAATAATTTTAATAAGAAAATGAAATAAAAAAATACGCTATTTTTTAGGATGATTGCACCACTAAAATATTGTGCTGATCACCGACCTTATTTTACAATTCATGATTCTGAATTTAAAGAATATACTACAGATGCTCCATCACCACCTGCTGTAATATTAGGTGTAACAAATCCATTTTTTGCCAAAACTCTACAGCATTGGCCTCATATTATAAGAATAAGTAATGGAACTAGTAATGGTAAGTTCTATGAAACAGTATATACATAGAATATTTAAATATTTTTTATATTTTAGAGAATCAAAGGTACAAAATAAAGAAATCAGAGAATCTCAAAATATTAGATTCAAAGCCAGGGGTTTATACTCAGTATAAACCTTTCCTTCAGAAGGATAAAACTATATTGAAGAAATTATTTAGAGGTATCCAAACAAAGAGGCCAGGGGAAGTGCAAACAGCTCTTTTAAAACGTCATTTGATAGAATTGACTGAAAGTTTTATGATACCTCTTGAAAGATATATTGCAAGTCTTATGCCATTACAAAAGGACATATCACCTTTTAAAGTAATTATCATTTTGTCTGTTGAATGTTTTAAACAGTTGGAACTATAATATACATATATTATAATTATTTTAGGCTACACCCATACCTGAATTATTTAATCCAAACGATTTCTTAGCTACTTTAAGTAGTGCTGGGCCACAATTAACTACAGGCATAAAAGGAGATTGGGTAGGATTATATCGACGATTTTTCCGTTCACCTAATTTTTCTGGTTGGTTTCATACTAGATACACAGAGTTATCACAAAAGTTACAAGTTATACAACTTGAGGCATTATCACAAGCGGTATGTTCGCGTTCAATATAAAAATTTGATCTGTTTTTAAAAATAAAAATGTTTATTTGTTTTATTTCTTAAACAAATTACCATTATTGTAGGATTTAAAAACCTGGGTGCAAGGAAAACAGGAAGTAGAATTGGTAGATATGATTCTTAGAATTCGGCAGAAGTTAGAAAAGACTTACGTTGATGAAGTACCTATAGGTAATTCTGTAAGGGAAAAACTTCAAGAAAGAATAAATGACATCACACATACATT